CAAAACCAAACCATTAAGTAAGTTTAATGGGTTGAGTTAGTATTTTGCAAGAAATTTCTAAAGCCTTCATACACTGACAATAACTAGTATTTCTTGTAATGAATCTCTAGCCTAAAGGTTCCGAAGTCAAAAAAAAAAACAGTCAAGTTTTTTTTGTACAACATACATTTTGCATCACACTCATAGTATAATACTATCTAGTACTCCTGCTTTAACAAAATCGAACTAAGTAATATTGACTTTTGACTGGTACTTCATGCAAACCTCACATTGAATACATTAATGCCTTGCTATGTCGAAGGTATACGAAAACGTTAAGGCATTACTATAATCAATTCAATAAAAATTTTATATACAATACCAGTCAAAATAGTCAATATAACTAAGTTTGATTTTGTTGAAGTACGAGAACTCGACAGTATTATACTATAAGTATGATACAAAATGTATGTTGTGCAAAAAATGGCCATTTTTTGTTTCAATTTCAGAACTTTTTAAGGCTGCAGATTTATTTAAAACAATACTATTTATTGTCAGTGTATGAAGACTTCAGAAATTTCTAACAAAATATTGACTGAACACATCAAACTCACCTAACTTTTTTGTTTTGTTAAGAGGTATTTTTGTAGGGTTATCATATTTTTTTAGAAAAATACCATTATTTAAATATTTATTTTAAAAAATTAAATCATATTTAATATCACTAATTTAACAAAGATTTGTTTACATAAAAATGTTTCGAACATATAAATGTGTGGAGAGGGTAATTGGCACAAACAATTTATAGATTTACAGATCAAAATAAATTTTCTTAAAAAATAGTCTTAGGATTTTTATCTATGANCAATATTATCTTTCAGGTAATTAAATAAATTAAATTACTCTTTCCAACAAAATTTATAGACAAAATACTTAGTAATTATACGCATCAAAAATCCTAAATTGGTCATTTATTCAACAAGCTTTTATCATTTTTTTTAAAGTATTGATAAAATCCAAGCTTTTTAAATTACAGTTATTCAATAACTCAGTAGTTCTTACAATGAATAATTATTTATTACAAAAATACGTACAAAAACTGTAAAAGCGATGTACAACTTACGTTAACAATTGCTTTTGTTAAACAATTACTCACTTTACTACTACTTAAAAAACTAATTATTAGTGAAAAATTGTTAACTACCCAAATCACTAAATTAAAAGAGGCCTAAGTTTACAAATTGTTACTAGGGGCACTTTGGAAAATATATAAGAGTTTCCTACTATCAATCAGATTATTTTGATACTACTACAGCTGTGTTGCAAGATTTATTGTAAGTAGCTGTTTTATCGAATAAGACGTAAATCCACCCATTTCTTGATTGCGTTTTTGACTCATGACACACGGTTGAAGAAAATAAAAAATAAGGTTATGTTTTTATCGTCCATCATCTAATTTTTTTTTTGGAGCTCCAAATTATGTCACCAAACATGGGCTGGATCAATTATTATAAACGGTATAATTAAGTGGCAATGCTTTTTTTTTTAATACAATAATAAATTTTTTAGTAAATTTTGTTAAGGAACTAGTTACTGAAAGGATCTTATTACTAAGGTAGAAAATTTCAATTTCTTCTTGATTATCCATTATTTACTATCCGTAATTTATATTTATTGTAAAACTTAAACTCTTTTTCCATTTAATTCGTCTACGAAAACTGTAAAAACAGTACGAGTAATAATTTATTCCTATTACTTATAAATTATACAATTTATTGCTTATAAGTTATTCATTTATTACCAATCCCTATTCAGATACTAAAATTAAGGTGTTAATATTTTGAGCACACAAAAATCAGGGTTAGGATGATAGGATATTGGCGTGTTCTAGATGCTTAAGTTTTCATGCATATTTTAAATTTGCCACTAAGTAAGTTTCCTACCTTAGCAACGCCGCGTCTTGTCTGTCTTTGTTTAATCTACACATCTGCATACCACGGTAAAAAGGCATTATACCATGCAGTTGTCTACTTATATACATCCTAGTTATTAGATCATATAAAAAAACCACAATTACCCGGGCGGAAGTGACGAAGCGGAGTCTCAAAATCGAGCCCTCCAGGTGGAAAGCAAGTGCTCTACTATCTCAGCCACTGAGAACTCCGAACGTTGCATGCTATCTACTCTGAAATTAGGAAATACCTGTAGCCCATATCACATTGTTGGCAGCTCTGCTTAATTTTAAGAACAATGGAGACTGTAAATTTGAAGTAAACAGTAGTGCGGTCGCCAAAGCTTCGTCTGGATTCTCAAACTTACCTCAACGCGCTTCCACGCTACTTGATACATAAATGTGTATACATACATATATGACACGCACACGTATCTATACATATCAGGGTCCATAGAAATCAGTAGGGTCTCCATAATGTTCTCTAAAAATCATGTTGGGGGCTGTAGGAAAGGTGCAGGGTTTGGACAAAAATCGGGATCTATTAATTTAAAGAATACCTTTACTTAACTCTTTTTATTTTAAAAATTTGTACGTAAATTAAATCTAAAAAATTTTGTTCAATTAAACGATGATAAAATTTTGTGTCTTATAGAATTTGGAAATGAATTAGATCAAAAATAAAATAAAACATACACTTATGTTGATAAAATGTATACACAGACATGTATACATACTTATACGACACGGTCACGTAGGTATACATATCATGGTCCGTGAAAATCGGTAGGGTTTCGGTCAGGTTATCCAAAAAGAGGTGGGGGAGCGGTAGGGGACCACGAAAATGTTTGTGGGGGAAAGCAGGGTTTTGGACAAAAATTGTAATGTGTCATAATAAGGGAGAAAAATGACAGAATTTTATCTTATTTTACGGGGAGCCAGTGGGGACGGTGGGGATTGAGTGAGGGTCTGTGCAGGTTGTGGGGGATCTGTGGGGTGGGTTGTGTGGAGTCTACCATACAGCTAGCCATATGATGTATGAAGATATATAAAAATATATATATATTATCACCTTCTTTGGTTGTTTCAAAAAACTTATCAGACCCAAGTCATAGGCATTTTTAAAAAAACTGCCTACCACAGGGCACATATCCCTCTTTTTTGGCATACACTCCTGTAGGGTGGCTTTTATTTTATTTTTATCATTTTTTAACTAACGTAGAAACAAGCAGAATTTCACGTGTTATTGTATGATAGGCTGGTGGGGCGGTATATTTACAGGCTAGCCACTAACGCTGCAAGAAATAAAAGAAAAGTCTATATGAGCTTTGTTGTGGACTTCACATCTTGTTTACTATATTTTTTATATTTTGTCACTAATATTTTTGCTAAAAATTATCACTAAGTGTACAATTTGTCATAACATTCAAATAACTCTGATAAAATACTTTATTCAATATTTTTCTCGATTGTTTTAAAATTTGAAATCCTTATTTTTATAAGCAATTAGAGTACACTGGCAGACTATTAAAATTTTTACTGTGTGGCGCAATCAAGCTATTTGATTTTGTAGGATCTGACATACAAGATTTAAAAAAAAATCGAAAGTATCGAGGACAAAGCCACTAATTTTTCCCTCTCTTTGTATAGTGATCAGCTTTACACCCATTCATCGAGACTATTGTAGGGTGATTTGCCAGTATTAGACCAACTTGTAAGACAGCCACTTAAAAGACTTATGGTTAAAGTGTTTTAGTGTTTAGTGTTTAAAAAATATTTAACGTAAAAAAAAAACTAAGAATTCTGTAAAACATAAATTAAGGACCGTAACAGAGAGCTAAAGACAGATCAATCACTAAAAATACCAACACAGAATTAAAAATCAAAAAACTAGATTTCTGACCCTGGCATAAAATATCTGTATGGCAAAAAGAGTCACAAAAGTATTTACGAGCAGAAAGTAAAAGATTGAACTGTAAAAAATACAGCCGCATGTTTGGAGACTACGTATAAAAATCAAACCTAAGTATTAAAATTATTTTTATTAGGTCAAACATTCATGTCCGGAACAATTTTAAAAACTTTTTCCTGAATAAACAAAGAAGATAGTGGAGGAAAGCTTTTCTTAAGAAACAGAATTTGACTATACTAGAATGAATAGTGATATTTTTGTTTGATAACGTACATGTGTAGTTAAGCTAATTAATAAGACTATTCGTCCTTGAAAGACAATATTGTAATTTTTTGTCTTATTTTTAAGTATAATTTTTCTCTATAAGAAGACAAATTTTTCTAAAAAAAATGGTGGAGTGTCTCTTATAAAAAATTTTCAACAAACTTTTTAGGAAATGGGGTAAACTTAAAAAAGACTATTTTATTGCACAATAATTCTGAACTCATGCTGTGTTGACTTCTTTTCATCGAAAATGTAAGATAAATAGTTATAGATCAGAAATATCGTGTAAAAGACATTTTTTGGCATTTCAATGACTTACTTATGAACCGAACCATGTACTCGTACTTTAATTTACTTATTAAGAAATAGATTAATATTTTTGCAGAATATGTTTTTATAACTTATCGTTTTGAAAATAGAACTTCCTAACTTATGTTTTCTTAGTTGTTTTCATCCTTTAAAAATAGTACGATATATATTCTTGGGCTTCTTCGGTGACTTGTGAAAATTAAAAAAAGAGTATTTAAGTCTTTCAATCAACAAAAAATATATTTTTAGCGCTGCCAATATTTATAAATATTTTTATAAATCGATTAGTACGGATTGCATCATTCTTTTGCTATGCATTTATTTTCAACCATTAGTAGTTTACGAAACAGCCTTTTATTCATAGTCAATCGAGTGCTGACAACGCCATAAGGACTATTTTTTAAATGGACCACATATAAGAATATTCTAGAGGTCAAAGCTAAGTGAGTTGAGGCCAAGACTACAACTTAGAATGTACTTGTTAGTGTGCCTGTGCTACCAAGCCCCTTAGGCTACCAAATATCTAGCCAAAGCTACTATAGTAGTGAAGACTATATTACTGTAGATTATTGAAAAAAAACTTACAGTCGTTTTATTTGCATCGCCTGAGATTTGGAAACCGTCACTATTCATTTTTAAATCGTCACAAGCAGTATTTTGACTTTTAGTGTCTCCTTCATCGATACTCCAGTTCATTTTCCATTTCATTTCAACATCTAGATCTTTTAATAAATTATGTTCTATTTTGTTGCAAGTGGACGAAGTAAAGTTAATACTATCCTCATGTATCTCCTTTTTTACACTGGTATAAGAAAAATTCTGATCTGTATGAAATAATCGTTTTATTAAATTCAGAGAAATAATTTAAATATCATAAAAGTTTGCTTTACCTTTATCTTCATCAGAAAAAAGAGATTCAGTTCCATAAGGTAACCTATAAAAAAAGCAGTAGTAAACATTACACACAAACAAAGAAATTCATTCGTATATAATACTCGTCAAGATATTTACTAAAGTGAGCTTTTCTTATCAATAACTCTTTGTTTCAATGATTTTTTGTAGCTATGAAACAGTTTGATTTTTTATGAGATTTATAATGATTATATTTAAACAGTAAGTTAAACCAAAAATTGATTTATCTCAAACCAGACAAATAATTATTTGGTTTAAGATGACATTAGAATTTATGTGAAAAAAAAAGTATTTGAAAGAATAAGTAGCTATAACCTAAGAAACTGAAACTTTAGAAGCCTATACAACAACGCAGTAAAATAAACGTTAAACACAAGTAAGTTGCTGTATACCACCTAAGGTAATAATCATGATATAATAAGCGAAAAAGTCAAAATACTTCCCTTAAATTGACCTAATGATAAATATCCTGTGTAAATAAAGAACATCCTTGCCTCCCTCACCACCCCTCATGCTCCCCATGCATTTAAAGTGTCCCCCTCCAGCTCTTCTTCGGTCACTTCAGCGATACCCTTCATAGTACTTTTTAAAATCAAATTATTAATCATAATTTATACTACATGCTAAAAATATCAAACAATACACCGTAAAATTAAGATTAAGGTAATTATTTAATTGACATTATACATTTGTGTTGATTCTAGAAATTTACATTCGTGTTGATAACTTTTTTTACTATTTTTATAAAAAAGTATACATTCCATACAAAAGTATAATTTGTGAGGAATACTCTTGTATGAATCTTTATGTACGAATCAAACGAAATTTCTGCTGAAATATAGTTGTCAATATCTGTAGTAGAAAATAATTCAACAATATCTGAGGGTCATATTCAGTATATATTAGGAGTAGTAATTTTTGGTCAATTTTTCAAAATTTTCTTTATTTCTTTCTGTTTTGGGTTATATCTTATAATGAATAAACCAGGTTTTCTGAATTTTCGCACTATTACCACTGCATGTTGGTAACCTTTTTGCATAAATCTAGCACCACCGATGAATTTTAAAGGTAAAATGAAAATTTTTCCTACTTTATTATTTTCAAAATTTTTGAATTGTTGTATGTACTACACATTATTTGAGTTGTTAGACCCTGGCAGCTTTTAGTTCTTAACATTTTTTGATTGTTATGAAAAAGTTTATTTTTTTGCTTTCTATCATAACAAATACAGGCAAATAAACAATTGTTATGTTAGTCTTTCAGCATAAAGTATAGGACTGAAAATTTTGTTGCTCGGTCGATAAGAAGTTCTATATAAATAATATTGAAACAACGTGAGATTTTGTGCAACGATACAATTTTTTTGCCTATAGCCAGTGCTTCTCCTGATAAAAAAAGTAAAAGAAAAACCATTGGATCGACACCTTGTGACAATTTATTTACATATGTGTGACTTAGTATAATATTTAGTAAGCTATTCAGATACACTTATGTCATAATCTCCAATATTTTCTGATTTTAAAACGATTATAGCACCACATTCTCCTGTTACAGGTTTCTGGTACTGATGATTTTCATTGCTATGATTTTTAAACAAGTAATTATATAGTTTCCAAGAAATTCTATACTTGTAATTTCATTTTAATTTTTGTGCATGTAGATTTTGTTTCATTGTTTGTGTTAGTACTCTAATATGGCTTTTGATAACAGTGGGTTTGATTTTGAAAGTTTTTCCACACAAGAGAAGTTATCATCATATTTATATATATTTGACTGTGAAAAGAATTATCAGCATTGTTTACAATAGATTACAATAGATTCAAGTGTCATCTAACAAACTTGACTTTTACTTTTTAAATTATTATTAGCTTTTTTTTAACAACAAAATTTGCACGAAATGATGCTAAAGAAACAAGATTATTGTAATAATGAATAAGATACATAAAATCATCACCATTTAGCAATAACTACTATAATTTATTATCATACAGACTTCAAGCACGTAGAAATATTCTTCCACAATAACAACGATTAAATTTTTGTCTTTTAATTTCGCAATATTTTGCTAAACAAAATTTTCATTCTAGATTCATTTCACAAGAACAGCTTTTTATGTAACTTTTATATTTGAAGTAAAACTTCTTATGTTGAGCCGTGAACAGCCGCGTAAAAGAAAATGCGTTAAAAAAGGTTGCCACCCACTCTGCAGCCCAACCCCTTTCCTCAATCTCCTCTCTTACACACTCCTTCCTACTTTATCTCCCTCTCGCAGCACACACCACTCTACACTCGATAACTCTACTGGCTACCGCTCCATCTCTCTCTCTCTCTTTCTCGCGTGTACGCCACGCACTCCCTTCCCTTCTCGCGGCTACTATACCTATATATATATATATATNTTAAAAAAATTTTTGTCACAACATTACCTCAAAATTCAAAAAACAGTCACATCTCTAGAAGGAAGCTATTTATATTTAAAATAACCATTCTTACACTTTCTCTAAAGGAGAACTAAATATCGACACGCAAAAGTAGAAAAGGGTTGGACTATGCACAAAGATAACCTCAATTTTCTCGTTTTTCGAACCTGGTCAGGAAGATCCTTTTTTATTACAGAATGACTTCGAAAACAAATTTTTCTCAGTTATCTCACAATATCTCGGTAATGAAGCATTTTATCAAAAAAAGTTAACTACGAAAGTTGTTTGAGGTAGTTGTTTCCTAAATCAAAAGTATCCAAAAAGGTACGAAATTGTCAGCAAAACTCAAATAAGCATCGAGAAATAAATGTAAAAAAATTAAGACCGATTTACCACGTCGTTATTGAAATATCCTCGTCAAAAAATCACTCTTTTAACATTGTTGCAATAGTGCAAATACTACAAAGCCCCATTATTTTGAAAAGTGTTACTTGCCTCATATCTATAAATAATTAAAAAAACTACTGAAAACTACCTCAGACAGTAAAGAAACACATTCATTTTTTTGAGAATTTTTAACTACATAGTTTAAAAGTAATAGTAATCGAAAAAGTGCTCTTCGTTTGATTTTGGAAGATAACTAAGTTAGTATCGTGTATGTGTCAACGTCACATTGTCACATAAATACAAGTGGATATATGTATATGTTTATGTATGTGTAAGTATACGCAAAGGCATTCACATTTCACTATTATATTTTGAATACGGAATGATACATGTATACGTGAATGTACATCTATCCATAAGATTGACCTATACATTGGGAAACAACTACTTTAACTGACAACTTGACGTAGTGGTAATTTTTTTTAAGAAATGAAAATTGTTTACTCTTGCCGAAAACATGCAGTAAAGTTGTAAAAAGCGAGAAACAAAGAGATATAAAAAAATAAGGGAGGAAATCGTCTTTCATTGCTAATATTTAAACATCAGATAGATATTAGTATTGTTTACAAAATGCACCAAGTCCACTTTTTCATAAGCAATATGGCAACCAACAGCAAAATTGTTAATTTAAAAGTTTCGAACGCTGTCAATCCTATTGCAGAAAGCGAATCTTGATAAAACTGATTGGAATCGTAAGATTATAAGATTGTCTATTATTAAGCTAATTTTAAAAACTTTTCAACAATTATTTTTTTTTGTTATCAACAAACAACCACTTTTTGTGGTTCGCGATTTCTTTAGTTTGTAAGATACAGCTTTTGAATGAAGTGCATACGATTACGCCTATTTTTTAATTAATTCTAAAACAAAAAATCCAATGCATGCCCAATAAAAGCCGGGATACGATACTTTTACGTTTTCAGTTGTTGAGCCTGATCTACTACACGTATACAATCGAAACTTGAATGAATTACTGGAAAAATTATTTAAAAAAAAGGTGTAATTGTACGCATTTTATTCCAAAGCTCTATCTTGTAAATTGACGAAATTACGAACCACAAAAAATAGTATTTTGTTAATCACCTATCGATTCTAATTGGTTTTATCAAGATTTGTTTTTTGCGACAGGATGGACAGCCGAAATTTTTAAATTAACAATTTTGCAATAGGCCGCCACATTGCTTTTGAAAAAGCGGACCTGGTGCATTTTGTTAACAATACTAATACCTATCTTATTTTTAAATATCAGCAATAAAAAAGATTTCCTCCCTTATTTTTTCATAATCTTTGTTTTTCGCTTTTTACAACTTTACCGCATATTTTCGATAAGAATCAATAATCTTCAGCTCTTCAAAAAAATTAACCACTACATCAAATTATTAGTTAAACAATTATCGTGATTAGCTTTTTGTTATAAAATGTTTCATTTCCGAGATATTGTAAGATAACTAAGAAAAAATTAGTTTTTAAAGTTATTTTGCAATAAAAAAGGATCCTTTCAACCAGGTTCATTTAAATTTTTTTAATATATCGTTATGTGGACAACAATCTATAGTTTTTGCGAGATTTTGTTAAATTCCAATAACAATAAAAAATCATGTTTTTTGAATCTCTGGCTCCTCGACTATGAAGGAATAATTCAAAATATTTAGGAAGGTTAACGTAGCCATGGAGGAGTTAATGACTGAGTCATGTCTCACACTTATTTATTATGATTTATAACTTACTTTCAACTACTTTCATCCAGGGTGGCAAAGGGGAGCCAGAGGGGGTCACTTAAAATGTAAGAAGGTCAACTTTTTGTGTAAAATTTAATTACCTATTATATACTATTTTTTACTAGTAAAAGGCTTAATGAAGTAAATCCAGCTGTAAACATTAAAAATAAGCAAAAATTAATAATAAAAAAAATTAACTGAGAATACATACATACATATATCATACATATATTATAGGTATGTATGTTTCTATGCTACGGCTAAACCGATGCCCTTGCTCAAGTTGAGGTATAGGTATGGAGAAAAAAAAGGAAAAAAAAACATCAAATATAGCTATGTAAGAGTCCAAGTACACGTATGTATATTGTATACAAATACAAGCGTTGCATCTCCCGGTCCACGCCGGAATTCCGGTAAGTCAGAGTCTTCCTTTACTG